CCCAGCGACGCGAACACGGCGAATCCCGCGGTAGTCGAAGTATCATCGACGTCTCCCAGCAAAGCAAGCACAACAAACGCGGTGATGGTCTCGTCAGTTAAAGCCTCTTCTGCACCACATACACTGGTTGCACCTAGTCATGCAGCTTCTTCATCCAACTTACGAGAGCGACTATGGAACAAGGCGTACGATCAGGCAAGAATTGAAGACCCCGATACCGTTAATGGTTACGAGATGATTCTGTCCGCTCAACTCCACCAAGAAGACCCCGACTTTTTGAATCCTTCACACACCGATTTTACGGACAATACGACGCCGGAGAACAAGATTGAACAGGATACAGAGAAACGTAAAAAGCAGATGCGTCAGCTTGTTCAAAATGGCTTGCAGAAAATAAAGAAGGAGATCAACATAAAACAAGGCATAGAAAGTGGTGTTCAGGTCGCCATGGTTTTCAAGGAAGTCGTAGACAAGGCGGTTCAAGCGTCTAGTGAGGCGGCTCTCGCCTGGGTCGGGGTGTGCATTGGGCTCCAGGTTAGTACCGCTATCATTGGAACAGGAACCTAACGCTAATGTTTTGTGTTAAGATCCTAACGAACCCACTCACCGAGGCGAATTCTAACCAGCAAGGAATCGAATATGTCGTGCGGAGGATGAACTGGTACTGGGAGCTGTCGAGACTACTGCTAGACATGAACATCAAGCCGGACCAGCAAGGCTTGCGGGGCGTGCTTGAGGAGAAAGTCACTCAGCTCTATGCACAGCTGTTATTGTTCCAGATGAAGAGCGTATGCTACTACTACCGCAGACGCTTTCGGGTGTTCGTACGGGATCTAGTCAAGCTCGACAACTGGGACGGCAAGCTGGACAACATAAAAGATGCAGAAGCAGCCGTGCGACAAGACTCCTCCCAGTACAACACTCAAAAAATCCTAAATCATCTTAGTGATATTCTTAAGAGTGGGGAGTCGCAGATCTCAGCTATTCAACAACAGACCAAGGAACAGGAGGCAATGCACGAGACCGATGAGGATAATAAGTGTCTAAAAGACCTGCGCGTCACTGACCCTCGAGATGACAAGAAGCGCATCGAAGGTCTCAAAGGTGGCCTGCTCAAGGACTCGTACAAATGGATCCTTGAAAACTCCCAGTTCAAAAAATGGCGCAATGAGGATGACCCGCAGAGTCGGCTGCTGTGGGT